ACTTGGTCAATATATTATATATCTATGCTTACCTAGAATTCTACGTACAGTACTATCGTAGAATTCTATAGAATTATATACGTTTCCGCTTGACTCAAACTTGGTCAATATATTATATATCTATGCTTACCTAGAATTCTACGTACAGTACTATCGTAGAATTCTATAGAATTATATACGTTTCCGCTTGACTCAAACTTGGTCAATATATTATATATCTATGCTTACCTAGAATTCTACGTACAGTACTATCGTAGAATTCTATAGAATTATATACGTTTCCGCTTGACTCAAACTTGGTCAATATATTATATATCTATGCTAACCTAGAATTCTATAGAATTCTACGTACAGTACTATCGTAGAATTCTATAGAATTCTATACATTTCTGCTTGACTCAAACTTGGTCAATATAACTTGGATAAAATGATAATTCTATAATGCCATAAGCAACGGGAGGAATTTTGTTCTTTGTAATTTCGCAATCGTCAGAATCGGTGGTATCCATATTAATCAATGGTAGTGCAGCAATACAAGTGTCACTATCATTTTGTTGTTTGATTATCTCTCGCGTTGGTGCATCAGCCTTTGCTGCACGAAATTGCTGTCAGCCGATAAGAGCTGCTTGGGCTAGCTGAGTGAATTCCTTTGCTTTTCTCTTGCATTCAAGATTAGGGAAACTTTCATTCTCAGCTGAATTCCGCTTACTTATAAAACTCCTTTTCGTCTGCGTTAACAATCGAGTGATTATTCATGAATACTCAACATACGAACATCCATACAAGGAACAGGAACATTCGATTTATGCATTTGGAAGATGCGCAAAGTTAGTTTGAAACAAGAAGAAAAGATCACAACGTCACACTAGTCAACTAAACAAGATACAGAAAACCAAAGAACATTTTTTTTTCTTTGACAAAAATTCGACTGCTGGCGCGGAAAGAACAACTTTTATTTTTGAAACTAAGAGTCACGTTCGTTCACAGTTACAACGTGAACGAATGAATCAGCTAGACTGAACTTCAAAACTTCAAGCAATTCGTACAAATCCAGTTGCATTTAGCCGATAAGTGCCCGTACCCACTTTGATTGTATCACCAACTTTCAAACTTCCCAATGTTTCAATGTCCGTATCAAGTGTATGCAAAGAGCCACCAGTTCTGTAGGCAACATCTAACAATTTTGGATTTACAAGACTACCTGCGACAAGTTTACAGACAACGACTTTAATCGGTTTTGTAACTTTATCTAACAGAATCAAATCTCTTGGTGTTGCTTCATTATCAGCAATATGAATAATATTTTCACATGTAGGACAATTGGCGATCGTATAGATAATTGCTTCAATATCATTCTCAGGACCATCACCACCACCTCCATTTGTCTTAGCTGTATTCAAGGTTGTCAAAACTTTCGTGACCCCTTCACTTGTGTGTACGCCATAGATACCACCTGAATTAAAGTCGAAAGATAGATAGAAAATTAGTTTATTCTGTTTCAAAGCTCTCTTACCTGTAGATCCAATGACTTTATCTGCATCTGGAGTATTATCGCCATCATTGAAAAAGACAAAATACCGAACGAGTTTATTCGTGTTACTCAGAGCCATCCATTGATCAATCTGAGCATAACAAGCAGACATGCTTCCAGTGACATCGATCACAGCTCCAATATCAGTCCAATTGTGGCGATTTAAAACACCTGTGACTGTTTGTTCATCGATTGTAGGAGCACTGGCTAGAGGAAGAAAAGTAAGTTGTTACAAGGCTAGCACCAATGATTATTACAAGGAGAGAAGTGTAGAGAACGAGTTTTCCTAGTGAACTATTCTAAGAATCTACATAAAGAAAGGAGACTGAGTAAGCCTCAGCAGTCTCCTGCTTTGCCAAGACATAGTCTCATCTTTCAAGAAATAACTCGAGAGCCGCAACAAGAGGGCTGAGATCCAAAAAATAAAGTTCTCATGGCGTCTTCTAACTAAAACCTACTGGTGGCCGTCTCTTCATTTTGAGCGACAATTTGAGTCGTAAACTTCGAGCCAAAAAAGTTAAATTTATCACAAAGCACTTACTTGAGGTAGTAGTCATTGTAGGAGGTTCGTCTGAACAAATAAATGTGGAAACGTTTCTACGTGCGACTAGAAAAATCGTATCTACTTACAAGTTCCTGAACATCCAATTCCGATATGCATATCATTTGTACAGTGATGTTGAAACAACGGTGTGTACGTACAGTCATTGAGACTCGTTGCATCGCTTGTACAATTGAAATTATCCAAGACAAACTGACATGGAACGAGAAAAGG